ACATGCTAGTAGTCTGGCCCCGGTGTGATCAACCAGTTTCTGCGGGAATGTGACGGCGGAACCAGGGCCAGATTAACACTTTGTTGTACCCTGGGCAACAATATTCAAGGGCTCCATCATCACGACCCAAGGATCACCATAATGTGGTCACATACAGAATATTTTACTGTAATATGCAGTAAATATACTCAATACTTGAATGCCTGACAACACGTAACCCGCCCAAAGTAACCTTTGACCCACCTCAAGTGGACTGACCAATGAGGAGAGGGTCTTAACTTGAGGCCCTCTCTTCATTGGTCAGTCTGCATGAGACTGACTCTCAACTGACGTTCAGTCATAGGCAGCGAAGCGTCTCTGTGCAGCGCAAAAGCCCGGGTGGACAGTTTGTTTAATATAGGGTGATCATATTTCCATTTCCAAACAAGAGGACAGGGATCTGTGCCTATGACGTCACACTATGGCAACGCCACACAAACCATGTTGGGACCCATTTTTTGTAAGAACTAAATTAATATCAGATTCTGCCAATAAAAGGGCTCTAAAACTATTCATATGTAAATATTTTGCATATTTAATGCAAAATCTAATTTTTCTGCTTTAGTGCTGCAACAAGGTTTTATTAATAATAAATTATTATACCTTTTGTTTTACTACAGCATCGGTAAGCTTCCTGTGCACAGATTATTAAGGATGCTTGTTTCAGCTGTGAGATTAGACGATAGGATCAATGATAAAATAAGTTGTCACACACTCCATGGAAACTTTCAGAGAATCCACAAATAGTGGCTTTCAAATGGTTTTGTTACTTTTTGCAAGTTTAGAAAAGCAGCAGATGAGACAGCATGTCTGATAATTTAGTTTTTCATCTGATAATATTAGAACATGTCAGTAATGTCTGAGGGGCTTTTATAAACACCATATAACTAACACTACTGGAGAGGGCATGAATTACACAGAGGCTTCTGGGGAGCCCAGTTATTGGGGGGGGGGGGGGGGGGGGGCATTTTGCCTTGGCCCCCAAAATGTCTTGAAACGGCCCTGGGTGTGTGACTGAGTTTTGAAGGTGATCTGAATTGTATCAGATGTATAAATATGACATGTGTATAACTTATTGTTTTATACAGGTAAAAACGTGTAGTGGAGATAAATCTACCTACATTTTACTTTTCAACACTTTGTTTTGTTTTCTTGTTTTTATTGAACTATTTTCCTGTCCTGTCTGTCTCTCATCTTCCTGCATCTCCTCTTAATTCTCCAGAAAAACTGCTGCCTGGATTCTTACTTTTTCACCTCATCAGTTACTTTTAAACAGATCAAAGGGATCTCCTGACCGAAAAGCGCAGAGCGCGTTTTCGATGCTGCGTGAGGTGAAATCACCGCAGCACAGGTGATGAGCTCCGCAGTAGCGCGCTTCAGGCACAAATAAGACAGAAAATAGAGAACATGTGCGGACATGAACGATCGTGTGCTAATTATAGTTTTTTGGTTGCGCCACTTTGAGAATGGACCGTGCGCTGGAAGCAGCTGCCTGGATCGCTGTGCAACAATGCGCAAGTCTGCCGGCTCTCCCTCGCGCTGATCTGACTTGCTCTGGTCTGCGCGCAACGGCGGGCGGGAAGGGGGGGCGCTTTTGGAAGAGTTGTGCGACACAACGAATCGATGACGCAATTCGTTGCCAACGCTTTTAGTAATCGATTTTCATCGAATTTATCGATTCGTTGTTGCAGCCCTACATCCATCCATCCAACATCCATCCATCCATCCATCCATCTAACATCCATCTATCCATCCAACCATCCAACATCCATCCATCATCCATCCATCCATCCATCCAACATCCATCCATCCATCCATCCATCCATCCATCATCCATCCATCCATCCAACATCCATCCATCCATCTAACATCCATCTATCCATCCAACCATCCAACATCCATCCATCATCCATCCATCCATCCAACATCCATCCATCCATCCATCCATCCATCCATCCATCCATCCATCATCCATCCATCCATCCAACATCCATCCATCATCCATCCATCTATCTAACATCCATTCATCCATCCATCCAACATCCATCCAACATCCATCAAACATCCATCCATCCATCTAACATCCATTCATCCATCAAACATCCATCCATCCATCCATCCATCTAACATCCATTCATCCATCCATCCAACATCTATCCAACATCCATCTAACATCCATCCATCCATCAAACATCCATCCATCCATCCATCCATCATCCATCTATCCATCCAACATCCATCCATCCATCTAACATCCATCATCCATCCATCCATCCAACATCCATCCATCCATCCATCCAACATCCATCCATCATCCATCCATCTATCTAACATCCATTCATCCATCCATCCAACATCCATCCAACATCCATCTAACATCCATCCATCCATCAAACATCCATCCATCCATCTAACATCCATTCATCCATCAAACATCCATCCATCCATCCATCTATCTAACATCCATTCATCCATCCATCCAACATCCATCCAACATCCATCTAACATCCATCCATCCATCAAACATCCATCCATCCATCTAACATCCATTCATCCATCAAACATCCATCCATCCATCCATCTATCTAACATCCATTCATCCATCCATCCAACATCCATCCAACATCCATCTAACATCCATCCATCCATCAAACATCCATCCATCCATCTAACATCCATTCATCCATCAAACATCCATCCATCCATCCATCCATCTAACATCCATCCATCCATCCATCCATCCATCCATCCATCCATCCATGCAGTCTCTTTCTAGTAAACATAAAAACCATGAAATGCTCTAATATTAAACCAGTTTACTTTCGTGTGTTCCAGTAAACCTACAATCCTGGAGGGTAAATTTAAAAACAAACATTTCCTGTTTCTCTCAGAAGGGATCAGATCTTCCTACCTAGCTGCAGCAGTTTCTGGTTTTCCTACAAATCAGCTTTAAAAACAGGCAAACGTTAGAAATCTGATCAAACGCATCACCAGTTTCCTCCTAGTTTGGTTTTAAACGCTTCTTTTATTTGGAAAGCCCCCCCCCCCACACACACACACACACACCCGTTATCTGTCTGGATGTTCGTGGTGAATAAAAACTCAAACTGAGTCTGAGTTAAGGAGGGCTGAGTCACAGCTGGCGTCACACAGGACCGTCCCGTTACATATTCAGGTCAGCTCTGCTCGCCCGTCCCTCCCATCACACTGCTCTCTCTCTCTTTCACACACACACACACACACATTTGGGTTTATTTTCTACAGGAAATTGCTCTAACTTACGTCTTTCCTCGGCTTATCTCTTCTTACAGGCTGAAGCGGTCCGTGACGACAGGCCAGAACGTCCTCACCAAACAAACGGAGGTTTTAACCCCGATAACACTCGGATACACGCGATACACACATCTGAACTCAGACTAGATCAGAAAAACAAAACACCAGAAGTCTGTAGGGAACCGAGGCGGCTCCACTACTGTTAATATTTACACACATGGGATGAAAAATGTCGCTCATTTCCATCCCGACTCGTAGATGACTCACAAAATACACAATCAGAGACAAAGAACAGAACAAGTGACGCGGAGCTGTAGGTGGAACTTCAGATGTTTTCTGTGAAACTGATACGAAGCGGGATTACGGTTCAGCTGTGATTCGTAACAGCTTTTGTTTAGATTTGGGTCACTCCAACATGTGGAAAGATAAACAAATAAATCCAAAAATAAAACGGGAGTTTTTTTTATCTTTCAGGTTTATAAACTGTCTTTAAAATCCAAATAAGTCAAACTTCTGTGATTTAAAAGCAACAAATACTCATAAATTGTGTTTTTATTAGTGTAGAAATCCACCGATTTAGGTTTTTCAGGGCTGATACCAATTTTGATTCTGATTCACATTCATTCTCCACTTTTAGTGACATTAAAGTTATGATTCTAGTAAAAACATACAATTATTTTTTTTACATCTGTAACTGCGAAGGTGACCTCGCTCCTGTTAATAAGCCATTTCTGATCATCAGCTGATTTTATTTGGACTAATTCTACCTTTTTAAAACAAAACGTGTTGCATCCAACTACAGCAGCCCCAAAGGGACAATTTTATGATTTTTAAGCCACATTTAAGCAGAACTAAAAATGATGGGAATCAATTTAGTTGCAATACCGAGCTTTTGCCACTAGAGGTCACCACAGTGGGAAAATTTAAACGTTCTAATATTTTTTGAGCATAATGAAAAAAAAATGGAAATTTTAAAACTAAAACGTAAACATTTATTATTGATTTAAATAGTTTTTGATTTTAAAAACCAGACATTTAGTTTCCTGTGGCTGACGAAAAGCTGAATATTAATGATTAAAAACAGAAACTAAACACATCAAAGCAGCGACCACACATGGTTTCCAGACAGCCCCCCCCCCCCCCCCCCCACACACACACACACACACACACCACACACGTTTCCACCAAACCAGGAGGGTTTCCCCTCCCCACCACACAGGAACTCAAACAGAACGAATCACTCCTGCTCCTCACGTCGACACAAACGCCTCTCATTTGTTCCACAAACAGAACGTTTACGGCTTTTCGCTCCCCAGCTTTTATCTGATCGGGTCGCGGCGTCTCCGCTGATCAGAGCATTGGTCTAAAAGGCCTAGAGGGCTGTTTGATTCAGGAGAGCTTCGCCTCCTCTCAGATTACGTGACGTTATTTCAGGAGAAGGCGGGGAGGCGAAGCTGAAAGTGGCACGAACGGGCTCAGACGAGCAGCTTCTTGCAAATTATTTATGTGATGTCATAAAAGCTCGTCCCAGCCCTCAGCTGTTCCAGCGGGAAGAGCGGATTCATCACACCCATCCCAAAACTCCTCTGTGAATCATCTGCTCTGACTTCGTTGGAATATAATAAAAGAATTTTGTTTTTTTCTGACATTTTTGACGATAAAACAGCAAACACGTGAAGGGTTCTCACCCGCAGTCCGGCGCCGGGCACCATCTGCAGTCCGGGTCCGAGGCGAGGCACCTCCTCAGCAGGAACTCCTCGTACTTCTCCAGCAGGGCCGCGTCGTCCAGGATGTCGGCCACCTGCCGGGGGGCCAGCCTCTCGGCGCACTCGGGGCAGCTGAGCTGGACCCGGCTCTCCGTGATCTCGATGCGGAGGTACTGGCGCAGGCAGCAGAGGCAGGAGCGGTGGCTGCAGCCCAGCAGCTCGGGCAGCTGCTCGGGGGGCTGACGCACCAGGCACAGCGGGCACTCCAGGAGGTGGGACTCCCCTCCCCCGAGGACGGCTGGCTGGAGGACAGCGGTCTGGACGGCGTGCTGGAGGCTGCTTCCTTACTGGTGGTGGTCGTGGGCGTAGCAGAAGCAGCGGTGGGTGTAGAAGTCAAGGCGGACGGCTGCAGCTGCTGGGTGTGTTGGTGGAGAGTTAAAGGGGGGCCGCTCCTCCCTTGGGGCCCTTGCTACCCCGAGACCCCCGTTTTCCTGTGGAAGAGGCTGTGGAAGGAGATCCTGCTCTGGTGTTTGCTGGCAGCGTGGCACTTCGGGTTCCGGAACGCCGCTAACCGACGAGTGAGACGACTCCGAGTCCTTTTCTGATCCCATTTTCCTGACTGGTGTATTCCTTAAGATCCTCACTGATCCGTTTAAAAACCTCCAGACCGGGACTCTTCAGAAACCGGCTTCTGTTCCTTTTTACAGGAAACCAAACATGACGAGGAAAGGCAGAGCGAGATAAAACAAGCAGAAACTGAAAGAGGTGACGCAAGTGGAGAAAAAAATCCCCCTCGACTGTCGGGAGTTTCTCTCTGACTCGGTTCAGAAAGAGAGAAGAAAGAAGGAATTTGAGTCAGACTGAGGCGGAAGTCGGCTCCGGTCAGGCGCCCGATGATGAAACCCGGAGAATCCACAGCCTGATTACTGGAAGTCCTCCGCTTTTCTCCTCCTCACGGCTCCGCTTCCTCTGGCTGAGTGCCGGCCTCTCTGAACGCTGCTTTCTGTCAGGAAGGAGAGGGCAGGAAGTTAACACCACAGAGCATGCTCAGTATGACTACCCCCCCCCCCCCCCCCCCCACCCGCCTCTCTGCTCTACTCCTCCCAGGTTGGTTTTAACCTCTGAACTGATTATCTGCTGCATTTAAACACGTCCAGCCCCACCTCGGCCCTGAGCGGCATAGCTGGGGGGGGGGGGGGGGGGGGGGGGAATGAAGCCGATTCTTCACGATTAGACACGTTACATGTATGACATCATCCTCTTATCCCACCAGTTTCCCTCTCCATCACGCTGAGCTCCACAAGCTCTTCCTCCACTTCACACGGCGCTGATGGTGCTGCTTGCCATGGTGACCCTCACTATGAGCGAGGCGGACAGAGACTGAATCTGGCAGTCATGTAGACACACACACACACACACCTTGAAGTATTGGATAACAGTCACACTGCTGCAAATAAACAAAAACAATCAAAACAAACAAACAGACATATCTCTCTCTCTCTCTCTCTCTCTCTCTCTCTCTCTCTCTCTTCTCTCTCTCTCTCTCTCTCTCTCTACTCTCTCTCTCTCTCTCTCTCTCTCTCTCCTCTCTCTCTCTCTCTCTCTCTCTCTCTCTCCTCTCTCTCTCTCCTCTCTCTCTCTCTCTCTCTCTCTCTCTCTCTCTCTCTCTCTCTCTCTCTCTCTCTCTCTCTCTCTCTCTCTCTCTCTCTCTCTCTCTCTCTCTCTCTCTCTCTCTCTCTCTCTCTCTCTCTCTCTCCTCTCTCCTCTCTCTCTCTCTCTCTCTCTCTCTCTCTCTCTCATTAAATATTACAGATCATTTGTTCGTGCATGTGCTAATGCTAGTTAGCTAACTGAAACTGCTGCAACATTAGCTTTCACTTGCACTTTCTTGTTCTACAGTTTGTAATTCAAAACAGGTTAAATACAAATGTTTATTTATTTAAAATCTGTTAAGCTCATGGCTCCAGCACAAGCTAGCTGTTAGATGGTATTTGATTATCACTGTAGTGTTTTACAGCCCCCCAGTGATTCACCACACAATCAGTCATTCACCCATTCACGCGCTGATGGCGATGAGCTACACTCGAACCTGCAACCTTCTGATTACTGGACATCCCGCTCTACCTCCAGAGCTACTGCTGTCCCAAGCTAGCCACAGAATTGATTGGAGAACATGCGTTAGCATTTAGTTTTAACAGGACTTTGCACAGATTAGTTACTGACTGACAGACTGTTTAATATTATCCGTGCTAAAGCCACCAAACAGGAAGTGGATGTGGATAGTTTGTTAAACACACAAAGTGTTTGTAGCATAGCTGGACTACAGTGAGCACCAGTTTGGTTTGTAGTGATACTTTTGTATGTAATAAAGTATCTTTGCACTCTAACGTCTGATTTAATGGATAATCTGCTGATGAATCAACATTAATTATATTTTATTACACTGAACAAAAATATAAACGCAACACTTTTGTTTTTGCTCCCATTTTTCACGAGATGGACTTAAAGATCTGAAATTAATTCCAGATACACAATATCACCATTTCTCTCAAACAGTGTTCACAAATCAGTCTATATGTGTGATAGTGAGCACCTCACAGGTGTGCCACATCAAGATGCTGATCTGACATCATAAGTAGTGCACAGGTGTACCTTATACTGCCCACAATAAAAGGCCACCCTGGAATGTGCAGTTTTGTCTCACAGCAAAATGCCACAGATGACACAAGCATTGAGGGAGTGTGCAATTGGCATGCTGACAGCAGGAATGTCAACCAGATCTGTTGCTCGTGCATTGAATGTTCATTTATCCACCATAAGTCGTCTCCAAAGGCATTTCAGAGAATATGGCAGTACATCCAACTGGCCTCACAACCGCAGACGACGTGTAACCACACCAGCCCAGGACCTCCACTTCCAGCAGGTTCACCTCCAAGATCATCTGAGACCAGCCACTCAGACAGCTGCTGAAACAATTGGTTTGCATAACCAAACAATTGCTGCTCAAACGGTCGGAAACCATCTCAGGGAAGCTCAATTGCATGCTCGTCATCCTCATCGGGGTCTTGACCTGACTCCAGCTCGTCGCCGTAACAGTCTTGAGTGGGCAAATGCTCACATTCGATGCCGTCTGGCACGTTGGAGAGATGTTCTTTTCATGGATGAATCTCGGTTTACATTGTTCAGGGCAGATGGCAGACAGCGTGTGTGGCGTCGTGTGGGTGAGCGCTTTGCTGATGTCAATGTTGTGGACCGAGTGCCCCATGGTGGTGGTGGGGTTATGGTATGGGCAGGCATCTGTTATGGACAAATAACACAGGTGCATTTTATTGATGGCATTTTGAATGCACAGAGATACCGTGATGAGATCCTGAGACCCGTTGTTGTGCCGTACATCCATGAACATCACCTCATGTTTCAGCAAGATAATGCACGGCCCCATGTTGCAAGGATCTGTACACAATTCTTGGAAGCTGAAAATGTCCCAGTTCTTGCATGGCCAGCATACTCACCGGACATGTCACCCGTTGAGCATGTTTGGGATGTGCTTGACCGGCGTATACGACAGAGTGTACCAGTTCCCACTAATATCCAACAACTTCGCACAGCCATTGAAGAGGAGTGGGCCAACATTCCACAGGCCACGAGTGACAATCTGATAAACTCTATGCGAAGAAGATGTGTTGCACTGCATGAGGCAAATGGTGGTCACACCAGATACTGACCGGTTCTGAGTCCCCAGACCCCCAATAAAGCAAAAAACCGCACATTCCAGGGTGGCCTTTTATTGTGGGCAGTATAAGGTACACCTGTGCACTACTCATGATGTCGGATCAGCATCTTGATGTGGCACACCTGTGAGGTGCTCACTATCACACATTTAGACTGATTTGTGAACAATGTTTGAGAGAAATGGTGATATTGTGTATCTGGAATGAATTTTAGATCTTTAAGTCCATCTCATGAAAAATGGGAGCAAAAACAAAAGTGTTGCATTTATATTTTTGTTCAGTGTATATTAAGCTATAATCCTGTGGCAGTTTATTTTTACCGTTTAAAAACTTTTGACTCAAAAGAATAAAAATCACAAACCTCCACATGAGGTCACATAAACAACACAAATAAACCTGACAACAAGCTGCAAACACACACGCATGAACAGAGCATTGCATTCATTCCCTGTGCTGTACGTGCACACACACACACACACACACACACACACACACACACACACACACACACACACACAGACACGCACGCATGCACGCACACACATGAAAAGTAGTAGTTACTCAAACACACACATGCTAATTATGAGCTGCTGCTAAATTACAGGCTGAAGTTCGCGGTTCATGAGCAGCTGGAGTTAGAATGTTCCTCTCACAAATAACATCTACAACAAATGAAGCTGCTGTGTTTCATGTCCTTAAATAACACCACACACACCCACACCCACACACACACACCCGCCCACACCCACACACACACACACAGCTGTGCAGCACTATGTTGTTGCTGATAGAGAAAAACCCACGATACACAACCGAGTTAAAAACGACAGACTCACTCACTCAGCCGTGCAGATGTTTTCTGTTTTCTCTCTCCGAGCAGCAAATAACCCACCAAGCCTCTGATTGACTTAACGTTCACTAATCTGATTACAGCCGCATGTCCAAAGGCCCCACACACACACACACACACACACGCACGCACACGCACACACACACGCACGCACGCACACACACACACACACACACACACACACAAGGTGAAGCTGACCCAGTAAGCGTCAGACTAATCATATGACTGTGATCTGTGGGGATTGTGTGTGTGTGTGTGTGTGTGTGTGTGTGTGTGTGTAAGGGGGGTGGGGGTGGGGGGTCATGGTCATGACGCACAGAAAAAAAAGAGATAATCTGACCAATCAGAGAGCAGCAAACAGATCTAAAATCTAATCTAGTCTGACTTCACATTTTTTGTGTTTCTAACTCGTCTGTTTAGTCCGCAGACCTGCGCCCTCTAGTGGTCACATGTATTTAAAGTAAACAATGAAACCTGCTAATTAAACTAATCTCATGGACGTAAACAGGCTAAAGCTGAGAGCTTATTTACTTTGTTCAGCTTTTAAATCTGTTCTCTTTATGGACGAGTTAATTTGTGTTTGATTATAAACGTAACTCCTGTAAAATATCATTTAAGAGGATTTTTCAAACACATTTAAATCCGTTACGACTCTGAATCTTTTACAGTGAATCTCGTGTTTTCATTTAGATGTTAGCAAGAAAATCCATCAAGGTCAGCAGGTATGGTGTCCCTTAGAGGACATCCTCGGTTCTCTGCAGGAAAACAAAATCACACTTTTAATCCACGCGGCTGCAGGCGTCGGACGGAAGCCTGCGTGCAGTCCTGGGACATGAATGTGGTGCACTCACGTAAACATCTAGCTGAAATAACTAAAGTCTGATGAATCAGGATCATTTCTCAACTCAGCATTTCCCATCTTCAGAATCAGGATTGATCGAACTAAAAGCTTCTGACTGGAAACTTTCTGATGACTCAGACTGAAGGTGAGTCGAGACAAAGAGGAAGTAATCCGATACTTCAAATATGA